CAGCTCGTCCTCATCTCGGGTGTCAAGTCCTTCAATGATCATGGCCTCCTTCATCTTGACTTCCTTGAGTGAGGCGACATAACATTCCCTGGCTATGGTCTGCTCTCCCCGTACTGTCCCGACCCCCTGGTCGGTGGGAAACTTTATGGCGAGGTGGTAGGTTGAAGTGACAACTTGAAAAGCGTTGAGGGCGGTGTGACCAAGGATGATGTTGTAGGCAGAGGGACAGTCAACCACAAGAAAAGTGAGCAACTTGGTAGTCTGCCGTGGGTATTCGCCGATGGTGATGGGGAGGTCGGTGGAGCCGATGGAGGTCACCCGGTCACTAGGGAAACCGACCAAAGGGGTTTGGAGGGGGGACAGGCTTTCCTCTCCAATTTTGAGCTGGCGGAAGTAGCTGAGGAATATGATGTCTGAAGAACTGCCGTTGTCGATGAGAACCCGTCTGACCTTATAGTTGGAGAGAAGGGCAGAAATGACGAGAGGGTCATTATGAGGATAACTGATGCCAGTACAGTCGGCATCCATGAAGGTGATGGACTCTGTCCACTGCTTGGGCTGTTTGGAGGGTCGGTCTACCGTGTCCACTGCTCTGTCCGAGCCTTACCTTATCTTCCTGAGCTCTACCCTCTGAGTGGAGCGGGATGGTCCGCCACAAGCAAGGCCACCAGAAATGACTCGGATTTCACCAACTGGCGGAGGGGGATTACCTGGGGGCCGAGGCTGTTGTGGGGGGCATTTGTGGCCTTGGTTAGGTTGGGTTGGCTTCCGGGGTGGGGTACGCCGGCGGTTGTTTCTGAGGGGCTCGGTTCTTTGCCTCTGTTGTGGGCAGGTGTCCGTGAACCGGCTGAGATGCCCTTGACGAATGAGGGTCTCGACCTGATCCTTGAGGTTGATGCAGTCATCAGTGTTGTGGCCGTGATCCTGGTGGAAACGACAATATTTGGACTGGTCTTTCCGGTTGGAAGGGGTCCGTGAGGGCAGGGGCCATTTGAGGGGGTAATCCCGTTGGATCTGGTGGAGGACTTGTTCCATGGGAGAATTAAGGGACGTGTACCGCTCGAACCGACCGGGCGGTGCGAGGGGGTCGGTCGGTATATTGGGGTGTTTGGCTGTTATACTGGGTGTTTTTGGGTTCCGAGTCTTTTCTTTTTTCTCCGGGGGGTTGGGTTTTTGGATATTGGATCCTGCCGAGCGGCTAGTGAATCTTCGGCATTCATATACTTCTGGGCTTTGGATAATAGGGCTGCCATGGAGGTCGGGGGGTTTTTAGAGAGGGAGAGGAGGAAATTGGACGATCGTAGCTCAGCCATGAAAGCCGTGAGGATGACGTTATTGTCATTCTCCATTACTTGTAGGGCTTCAGTGTTGAAGCGGGTAACGAAGCTGCGCAGCGACTCCCCCTCGGTCTAACGGATGTTGAGGAGTTGGGTTGTAGGGCGGCATCGACGCTGGGCTCCAATGAAATGGCTGAGGAAGGAGTCGCTGAGATGTTGGAAAGTGGAGACAGAGTCCACTGGTAACTGACTGAACCACAGTCGAGCTGACCCCTTCAGTGTTACGGGGAAAGCCCGACACATGATCTCGTCAGGGAAGGCATGGAGGATCATGAGGGTATGGTACGTCTCCAGATGGTTGACTGGGTCCGTCGTACTGTCAAAGGAGTCAATGGTGGGCATCTTGAACTTGGCGGGCAAAGGTTTGTCCCGGATGGAGGCAACAAATGGTGAATTTGTCGTGGCAGAGGGTTTATGCTAAATATTTTACATGACCCCTTGGAGTTGGAGCTTCATTGCTTGGAGCTCAGCATCCCAGAGGGGAACGTGGTCGCCATGGTCAGTCAACGGAGGCTGGACGTTCTGGCCTCTCCTTCAGGTGCTGGTGCTACGACCGACGGGTGTGGGGGTGGTGGTGGTGGATTTATATGTGGGTGGGGAGGTTGCAAACCTTCCAAGTTGGGTGGATGGGGTTGTGGAGCAGTATGGCTCGGAGCTCTTTCTTGGTTGGGGGGAATATCTGGAGGTGGTGGCGGAGGCATTGGAATGTTTCTTTGGAGTAAAGCGTTTATCAAGGCCTGGTTTTGCTCGGCCATGCGGTTAGTGCTGTTGGTAAGCTCGATAAAATACTGTGGTGGGTTGTTTGGATTGGGGGGGTCGGCTTGATGGTCGGCATCATTATTGTGAGAAGCCATGGATCTAGTCGTGACCATGCACTTTGATGGGTAGGAGAAAGAGGTTGTTGGAACGGGGTCTCCGGCGGCAGTGAACACAACTGGCGCGAGGAGCGAAGTGTTTCCCACAGACGGCGCCAACTGTTGATACAGTTTATCCCAGTGAATGGAGCGAACTGGTCCAAGCTCCTCAAGCCCAAGCCCAAATGATCGAGCCCACCGGATATCCTGCAAACAAGTTCAACGAGGAACGGTGTAGTCCCCCAGTGAACCCTTTGACGATCAAGTTAGGAAGATAAGTAGAATATATGGGGGGATATTAGAGATAGAAAGCTTAACCTTTTTCTTGTCTACAACGTTCACTTATATCCTTTGGTAATCATTTCGTTGTCTCTTCCGACCTGCTCTCCTCGCCGAAAGCCTATGCTGTAGCTTACCTTGCTCAGGGTAAGGGGGTCCTGTTCCGGCGGAGAGGTGTTGTCGTAATAAATGCTGTGACGGGCTGCATTAATGGTGATGTGCAGTGGCAATAACTTTGCTGATCTTTGTCTGCTGATGTGGTTCCTCCTTCTCTTGCCGTGTGTCTGAATGTCATTGGCTCTTTATGCCATGTTGGACTCCAGCTGTCCTGGACCTCACCAGCTGGGTTATGCACTGGGCTTCAAGTGATGGGTCATAGGTGATTCGTGGCCTTTATGGGCTTATACATATCAGATTTGATCACAATTAATTGGCCATAATCGACATGAAAATTAAAATATGATGTCAACAATACCTTTATTATTTTTTTATTTTATTTTTATTTACTTGAATTGTACACGTTAGGCAACAACTTAATTATTAGAGTAACTCCAACGCTACCTTTTAGTTTTTATTGCTAAAGTATAAAAAATGAATGCTTTTTATTTTATCTAATTAAATTTTTATTTATGTGCTTTAACACTGCTCTTTATTTTACTTATTTATTTACTTAAACTGTACAAAGAATCTTTTAAAACTCTCCAAATATAACTAATTTAAAAAACTTTTATTAAAATAGTTACTCCCTCCGTTCTAAAATATTAATCCTTTATTCTATTTTTTATTGTCCCAAAATATTAGTCTGTTTTCAAAAATTAAGGACTAAAATAATATGAATTTCTTATTTTGTCTTTTTTTTAAAAAAATTCATTAATAACACAAAAAATACAACTATGATAATTGATATTCTTAAAAAAAATATACTATCAAAAAGTAATTTTAAAAGATTAAAATATTTTTAAGTACAATAATTGTACTAAAAAAAGTTAAGTCCTCAAAAAATAAGTTCTCACAAAAAAAAAAAAAAAACTATTTTGGTGGAGGAAATAATAAATAATAATCAACGTATCTATTTTAAAGAGCTTATTACAAATACTCTTTTAAAAACATAGAAATCACCATTTCACACTTTCTACTCTAGACTAGAGGAGAGGATTCCTGATCCTCCAAACGAGTCTAGATCTCCTCCTTGCAAGCCTTCCTTGCAATCCTCCTTGCAACGGCTGAGCAAAGGCCATAAAAAAAATAAATAAATAAAAAATAAAGAAATTGAATTTTCATTTTCTTTCCGCCCAAAGACACAGAACAGAGCCTACATAGATTTTGGTTCTACAGATTTTGGTTTGGAATCACACTCACAAAAACAAACTCATTTCTTCTTCTCCGTCGAATCCACCCTCACCGGCGACCCAGTCTCAGCCGTTGTAGATCTGACAACGGGGAAACACTCTCGACGCCGTTACAGATTCTGTCTACTTGGCAAACTAGAGCCGTCATGCTCTTCTCTTCCACCTCATCGGCAGACCCTCGCTACAGCGACCAAATGTTAGTCTTCATTGTCTCTGTCTCTGTAATTGGTTTGCCGTCACTCCCCAAACCGAATCCATTGATGTCTGTAATAGCATTGATGTCTGAAGACTGACCTCATTGTCTCTGTCTGTAATTGCAATAAGGCTGAAGACTAACCTCATTGTAATTACACTGTATAGGCTGAAGACTAACCTCATTGTCTCTGTCTGCAATTACAGAGACAGAAATTGAAACAAAAAAAACATAGTCTTCATTGTATGTCTGTAATAACAATGAAATACATTCAATTTACACTGTCAATGGTATTTCAGTGTTAAAAATATTGTTTATTTGTATGATTGTTCAGAATCAAATGTGTACCAGTGAAATACATTCAATGTTAAAAATACATCCAATGAAATACATTCAATGGTGTACATTCAACATTGTGTATTTCAATGGTTTTTCAGTGTTAAAAATACTGTGTCAATGAAATACATTCAATTTCATGTGAACCTATAGACAGATAAAAAAATTCACTTGTTATAATTGATTTAATGTTTTGTATTTTTATTTGTTATACATTCAATTCACTTGTTATACATTCAATTTTAGTGTTAAAGGTGACAAATTGTATTTTTATGTTATTTTGTATCCGTTGAGCTACAATAGGTTTGCCAAACACTGTGTAGCGACCCAACCCAAAACTAAACGACTCTTGTTGGCCATGAATCATTGTTACCAAAGGTAGTTGGCTTGCATTCCTTTTCTTAGACACTTTAAGGAGAACCAAGTAGTTGGAGTTTGGGATTATATAGTTTAATTAATTTATTATTTGATCTTAACTGGGGCTGGCCATATGGTTCTCATTTCTTGTTTCTAGTTTAATTGATTTATTATTTGATCTTAATTGCATAACTTTTGTGTACTTCTCATTTCTTAGACACTTTAATTCATTTGTTCTTGTTTTCTTTTGTCTATGAAATAAATATATTATTTATGTAGCTAAAATTTTATTTATATGGGTTTTCAGTTGCATTTTGATATGGCTATGGAACCTGAGAATGATTGTGCTTGGAAGCCAAAACATGGAATGACATTTGATTCTGAACAAAGTGTGTATGATTTTTATAATACATATGGAGGAAGAATCAGGTTTAGCATAAGAAGGGATTTTTGTAGGAAGAACAAATTCACTAACCAACTTATTTGTAGACTTTTGGTTTGCAACAAGGAGGGATTTCGGAAGGTTGACAAACGAGACCCATTGACAAAAAACTCTAGAGCTGAAACTAGGACTGGTTGTGAGGCTCGACTTTATGTTAAATTAGATGAGGGTACTGGGAAATTTGTTGTGACTGATTTCAAAGAAAAACATAACCATGATCTTGTATCACCCGAGTGTGCCCACATGTTGCCGTCACAAAGAAAGATATCGACTACCCAAGGAATTGAGTTAGATTTGGCGGCACAATCTGGTCTTCGTTTAGGCCAGTCTTTTGAACTCATGGGTAAGGAAGCTGGTGGGAGGCAATGTCTTGGGTTTACAAAATTAGATCAAAAAAATTATTTGAGAACCAAAAGACAACAAAGTTTAGCATATGGGGAAGTAGGCAATATGTTGCAATACTTTAAAGAAAAATCTTTGCAGAATCCTTCCTTCTTTTATGCTTTTCAATTAGATAATGAGGAGCAAATAACCAATATGTTTTGGGCCGATGCACAAATGATCATGGATTATGCCCAATTTGGTGATGTTGTCACATTTGATACGACTTACAAGTTAAACAAAGAACATAGACCCTTTGCATCTTTTGTGGGATTCAACCATCATAGGGAAATAGTTACATTTGGTGCAACATTGTTGTATGATGAGACTGCCGAATCGTTTGTATGGTTGTTTGAAAATTTTCTAGAAGCTATGTCAAGAAAGGCATCAAAAACTTTGTTCAGCAATCAAGATGCTGCAATGGCTAAAGCCATACCTATCATTATGCCTGACACAAGTCACCGATTGTGTACTTGGCATTTGATGCAAAATGCATTAAAACATGTTAATTGTTTGTTCTAAGATAAGGGGGTAAAGGGTTTACTAAATAAATTCTTCTTTGACATTGAAAATGCAAATCAATGGAAGTTAGAGTGGGCGGAAATGCTTGATAAATATGATGTGCGTGAAAACCATAGGTTGAAATTGACTTTTGTGGTGAAAGAAAAATGGGGCTGGCCATATGTTAGATCAACATGGGCTGCGGGAATGAGTACCACACAACTTAATGAATCTTTTAATGCTTTTTTGAAGGATTACATTCGTTCTGATTTTAACTTAAATGAATTCTTCATGCATTTCGAAAGGGTACTTTACGAGAAACGATACAAGGAGTTAGAAGTAGGATATGCTTTGTGCCAAAGGTTGCCAAAGGTGAAAGCAACATTAAGAATGTTAATTCAAATGGGTAATGTCTACACAAAAAAGATATTTGAGGAATTTCAAAATGAGTACTTTCGATCCATTGAATCAGACATAGAAGCAATTGAATATGGTGATGCTAGTACCATTTACACAATTGTTGATGTTGCTAACAAACATGCAAGGAAGGTGAAAATGGAGAGCGATGGCTCTTTGGGTTGTAATTGTACAGAGTTTGAAAGGGAACAAATCTTGTGTTGTCACTCATTGAAGGTTATTAGAGACATATTGAAGATGAAAGAGGTTCCTCCACAATACATTCTAAAGAGGTGAACGAAACAAGCAAGAGCCGAAACTGTGAAGGACATTAAGGGGAATGACATTCAAATAGATGTGAAATTCCAACAAGCCTCACAGTATAAGACATTGATGACAGCATTTAGAGCACTAGCAAGTAGAGCTGCTGAAACTGAAGAAACTTATGATTTTTGTATTGCACACCTTGTTACATCAGGTGCAAATGTTGAAGGCAAGTTAAGTGCTCATTTTGGTGTTGGAAATGATGTAAGTAATGATGATGACACCCAAAGCTTTGAAATGGATTGCGAAGATATGAATCATGTTGTGCAACCAAAAGGATTGAAGAAAAATGTGGCAACTAGTAGGGCAAAATGAGGATAAAAGGTGGATTCGAAGCGGCGTTGGTAGCGAACTCCAAAAAAAAATCCCGTGCTAACAGCTTGGCTTCATCACAATCTATTGCAAGTCCAACAGTTGTACTTTCTCCATTATCTGTTTGAGGAGATATCTATGTTTGTCAACATGTTCCTCCTCTTCAACCTCTTCCTCTCCTTCATCCTCTTCCTCCATCTTTGCCCATGGGTGGTAATTCTATTCCTCCACCATTGATGTATCCCACATATCATGTAAATGTTACTTAACATTGTATTTTTTGTGTAGATATAATATGTGACTCAAACCATGATTGCAAAGCGTAATATATGACATTATTGTAGGCGAACAATTTGCGGGATATGTATATAGTGCCAAATTCTTTGCCAAATTCAATGCCTCAACGGTATTCTGCGCAACCAACATTCCAGTCACTACTTCAAGGTTCATGTGGATATGACATTGGGTTTCGATATTCTCAAGAATCAAACAGTCCAATGTGTAGTTAGGTTCGTCCTTGCTGCCTTTTTAATTTGTAGTTGCTGAAAATTCTTACTTTTTAGTTGCTGAAAATTTTGTTAGAACATGTATTTACTTGCCAAAAATTCATTTTAAAGTATGTATTTAGCTGCTGAAAATTATGGAAAATTCTGTCTTTTTCCGTTTTAGGCTATGGACAAGCAGAAAGAGAAGCAAAGTGAAGTTGAAATTGGCTTGGAAAGTGAAGTCATAGCAGCTCAAATTGTGAAGCAAACTGCTACTGAAAAGTGATGTTGCTGCACAAATTATGATGTTGCTGGAAAGTGATGTTCAAAGTATTCAAATTAGCTGGAAAGTGATGTTCAAAGTGATGTTCAAACTGCTGTTGTATGTGTGTTCAAATTGTGTTGTTGCTGGAAAGTCAAGTAATGGCTTGTATGTGTGTTCAAATGGCTTGTGAAGTAATGGCTTGCTAGAAAATTCTGTGTACCTGTGTGTTCAAATTTTAATGGCTTGTATGTTAATGGCTTGTATGTGTGGACCAATGTGTTAATTTAGATGGACCAATGTGAGCAAACTTCACTTGATGTTAATTTACACTTGATGTTATATTTCATTTTCTTCTGATTGATTTTTAAATGGACCAATGTGTGTGTTCAAATTTTTAGATTTTGTTTTGTGTGAAAGAACAGGTACATAGATTTGCAACAGATCTGCCAAATAGCATCCACAGATTTTCTTGTGTGAAAGAACAGGTACACAAATCTGTAACAAATCTGCCAAATAGATGCTTGGGTGCAATTTTGTTTAGATGCAATTTTGACGCCAAACATATTTGCCAATTGATGCAATTTTGTTTAGATGTTTGGGTGATGTTCACTTTTGTTTAGATGCCAAATAGCAGCCACAGATCTGCAACAGACCTGCCAAATAACTTACTTGTGGATACAATTTTGTTTACATGCAATTTGCTGCAATTTTGATGGAATACAGATGTAATTTTGATGCCAAACAGATCTGCTAGTTCATGCAATTTTGTTTACATGCTTGGGTGATGTTCAATTTTGTTTAGATGCCAAATAACAGCCACATATCTGCTAAATAACAGCTACATATCTGCAATAGATTGCAAAACAGATCTGCAACAGATAACAAATGCAATTTGATGCAATACAGATACAATTTTGGTGCAATACAGATGCAATTTTGATGCCAAACAAATCTTCAACAAATAACAGAACTTGTTCATTAGAACCAAAGCATCAACAAACAGCATCCACAGATCTGCCAAATCTGTTTTAAACTTGCTAACAGATAATATTTGAGGCCACAGATAAGTGACAAACAGATACTAGTTGACATATAACAGATCTGCCAATTCTGTTCATTAGAAACAAACCTGCAACAGATAACAGAAGTTGTTCATTACAACCAAAATTCATTCACCCAAATAACAAAACTTGCAACAGATAACAGGCCACAGATAAGTGACAAAGCATCTACAAAATTCATTCATCCACAAAGTATCTACAAAATTCATCCACATAGCATCCACAAAATTCATCCACAAATTTGCCAAACAGCATCCACAAAACTCTAACAATGAGACCAATGTTTCCCAAATTTCATTCCATAATAAAATTCTAAGTTATATCATAATAACTAATAAAACTCATTCCATACATTCATTCCATAATAAAATTCATTCCACGAAGCTATTAAGTAAGTTACATAAGTTACATCATAATAACATTTATTCCATAAACATAAGTTACATCATGAAGTACAATACAACCAAAAATGGTAGAAACTTTTATTCAATTTCTCAAAATACAATAAAGTACAAAATGATAGAAAATATAATGAAATACACCATCGCTTTGATAGTATTTTCTATCCTTTCAAGCCTTCGACCATAGTCACTTTCCATGTCATGAAGCGTCGTCCTTACATCGTTAAAGTCTTCTACTGTTATAGCATCACAAGCTCTAGTGTTGGAACGGATTCTGGACGTAACGTCTTCATCATCTTCATCCACGAACTTGAAGTAATTGCAATGGGGAGTGGGAGTGTTACTCTACAATGCATGACAATCAATTAGTTGAATAAGACAAATATTAATGTGACTACTAAAGGATTAAAATTTCCAATACATACTTACATATTTTGATGGGCAAACAAAGAACAAATGCCCTTGATTTCCATTCTCATTGGTTCTTACAATATTTATGGCAGCGGTTCTTCCACAATTGCACAGCCTCGGTAGTAATCTTATATTGCTAATGTTAGAAGAAGAAGCCATTTTTTAAATATGCATACATGAGAAACATCTATTTGTGTATGTTCCATAATGTTATGTTCCATAATAAATTCTATGTTGCTAATGCTATGCTTGTGTTTGATAGGGTTAATAGCAATTCTACTTGAATTTAAGGGACAGAGTGTATGTCATTACTGTTAACAATGTATTTGTTCAAATTGCCATGTTTAATAGCATTTGAACAGAGGTTACATAGACTAAACTATTAATGGCATTTGAACAACCATGGCAGTTCAATGTCAGTCATTTTCTTCAGTTTTAAATATAGCATTTGTGATTAAGACTGAACAGAGGTCATTTTCTTCAGTCATTTGAACACACATAGCAATTTCAAACTGAACAAACGTAGCAGTTTTATAAACATAGCAGTTCAATGTCAATTCATATGCAGTTTTACAAACATAGCAGTTCAATGTCAATTCAATTATCAATCACAAATGTTACACAAAATTATGCATCTTGATAGTTATCAATCTATAAAATTATGATTCCATGTTATCAATTGGCATAATCATACTATGTGCCTGTTTGGCAGAAATTATAATCAGCTTATTTCAGCTTTCAGCTTAATTTAAGCTATTTTGATGTGTTTGGTTTAGCTTATAGCTTATAGCTTATAGCTTTTTGGAAGTTAGAAATCAGCTTATTCTTTGAGTGAGGCAGGAGATGCTTTAAGAATAAGTCAGAAATCAGCTTATGTTCATAGTTATAAGCTATAAGCTATTTAGGCACAAGCTATAAGCACTTTCCCACAGTTCTACCAAACAGGGCTTATTTATCAATCTGCATAATTATGATTCCACAATATGCATATATGATTTCAAAATTTAGCTACTGTAGTTCCACATTTTAATGATATATGTTCCACTATTTATCAATCTGCATAATTTGGCTCCGAAATGCATATATGTTTCTCAAAATATGTTCCATATTTATCAATCATACTATTTATCAATATGCATAAGAGTAATTTTGAAAGCCCTAATTTTCAAATTTCAAATCTATTTTTTCAATCACAACCCTAACCTTTTGATTTTAGTGTTTCGAGGACGAACCAGGTTTCATTTATGGCCTGAAAACCCACGTTCTTCTCAACAAATTCCTTCGCTCCAACCGATGATGGTCGCGGTGGAGCTATGGTTTGCGAAGCAGAGAAAAAGAGGGCTATAGCGGTGGGTTGGGTTTACGAATGGGTCGCTGTAGGGAGTGGTCGCAGGTGAGGCTGGGTTTGGTGCAGGAGGAGTGAGTGTGAGAGTGAGGGAGATTGAGAGTGAGAGTGAAGCGTATACTCCGTATAACCTGTATAGCAAAGCGAGAAAGTGAAAATTCAATTTATTTATTTATTTTTTTATGGCCGTTGGATGTGCAATGGCTGATCTCAACCGTTGGATGTGCAACGGCTATTGCAAGGAGGGCTTGCAAGGAGGGGATCTAAACTCCCTCCAAACAGCACCCAACCCCAATGACATCAGACAAGTACATCCCCAGTCATACGCAATCAATGACGTCATCCTTTCCTTTATTATAGTACCCTTCTTTCAAGTCACTAGAACTCTCTCGCTCTCAATACCCAAAAAATAGAAGTATTAAAAGAGCTGAAAATGACTTCATCTACTATTATTCAATGAGAGGAAATGATAGTACTGACATGTGCAATTTTTTATTTTTTTCCCCATTTTCTAGTAGCTATAAAGTAATTACGAAAGAGAGTGGTCTCTCTGGGTTTGCTCTCCATCTTTAAGCAAGATATTCATCATCTACGCAGCCAAAAGCAAGCGATCGTTTCAAATGTCTACAGGTATGTTTTTGCTTGTATAGCCTTTATTATTAATTAATTGGAACATGATTGTATTATAAGGTTTGTTTAACAAAAATTAATCGAATTTTTAATTCTAACAGAGCACCCTGTTAAGGCATTTGGATGGGCTGCCCGCAACCCATCCGAAGTTCTGTCTCCCTTCAACTTCTCCAGGAGGTAAGGGTTTTTTTTTAAAAAATTTTTAAATTTTATTTATTTCTGACTTGGAAAATATTTATATTAAAACAACAACATAGAAACAAGGCTAAGGCCCTGTTTGGTGCAGCTTAAAAGCTGTTTATTTCAGTTTTTAGCTTAATTTAAACTATTTTGATGTGTTTGGTTTAGCTTATAATTTTTTGGAAGTCAGAAATCAACTTATTCTTTGAGTGGAGCAGGAGATGCTTAATTTATAAGTCAGAAATCAGTTTATATTCATAGTTATAACTCAAAACACCCCATATAAGCAAAATGGAAAAAAAAAACAAAAAAAAAAAACAAAAACAAAAACAAGAAAAAAAAAAATAAATTTGTCCAAAAACAAATCAGTTACGATATAAGAAAAATATCGATCTTTTTGAAGATGTAGTCCGGAAAGTAAAATGTACATCAAATCAAGCAAGATCTTGAAAGCCCACCGACGTCGATACGTCCCTCGTCACAGCTGCCAATTCCTAATTCTTGCCACTTTTTTTTTTTTTTTTTTTTCTCTCATCTTCTTCATACGCATTTTTTTTTTTTTTTTTTTTTTTGGGTTGAATAATTTGTTTGGGGAGTTGATAATCATTTCTATGCTTATAAAATCATTTGGAACACTCCGTTTGGATCAACTGATTTGATAAGAAATAAAGAGGAGAATTTAAGGGGTGCGAATTGATGAAAAATAGTGACATTTTGTAAGAAAGAGAACCCGTCATAATACTCTGTTTATAAATTATAGATTTCATTTCTCACCAAAGTGGTGAGATTATGAACTTTTTCATAATACTCAGACTGCTCGTTAAAATGTAAAACATATAAAGAAAAAAAATGTCACCCATATTCCAATTTAAATATAAAAAAATGATTCATCTCCTAATTTTGTCCCCAATTTCACCAAATGATGTGGAATTAGAGGGGTTAAAATGGGAGAGAGAAGTGTGGGACCACATCATTGGGGTGGAATTAGAGAATGTAGCGGACTGATAAGAAAACGGTATAGTTTTTTACCAAATCTCTCGCATAAGTGTGGGACTCACACAAAATTTGGTAGAAAATTTGATAATTTATTTGGGATCCCTATTATCACTTGGACTGATAAATATAATAGTGAGAAAAAACGTAGTTTTTTTTTTTTTTGGTCATTTAGACAAAAGACAACTATCATTCATTTTCTTTTTCTCATCCCGCGATCCAAACAATATTAGAGCATCTCCAATGGAGTTGCTATTCAACTTGTCAAAGCTAAAATTTGACAAGAATGACAAAAAGAGGGTTTCCAATTGCATGCTATTCTATTTGCCAAAGATAGCAGATGCCATTTCTGTTCTCAAATTTGGCAGGCTGAATAGCAACTGCCAAACTTGCCAGATCAGCAAATCTCAACAGATTTTTGGCACCAAATGCAGTTGAAGAAACAGATTTGAAATAATATAAAACCCAAAAAATTCAGAATCAAACTCAAATATCAAAATCAAACCCAATTTACAATTTTTTTTGCCAAATTCACAAATTTCAGAATAAATTTGACAAACCCAAATTCAGTTTCTCTTAAAAAAATTTTTTTTAATCATTTATCATCAAATCAGTCAATCAAAATAGAGTGTAAAAATTAGATGGATATTATCACAATAAACCAAACCAAAATAGGCTTGAGTTGTTTGAAAATCAAAATAAATATCAAAATAAAATCAATGGATGAACAAAAATAGGATGAACAAAAATTAAACAAAAAATCAAAATAAATAATTACGAAAAATCGGGGAGTACAGACCTGAGTTCTTTGAAGATATGGAGATGATTGAGTTCTTTGAAGATCTGGTTTGACGCCATCGCGAGACTTGAGTTTGAAAAATTGCGATCACCTCCACATCAAACAAAAAATCAAAGCGTATATATATGAGTATGTATATAGATGAAAATCGTATCAGAGACAGAGGGAGAGAGAGGAAATGAGGGCGAAATGAGAGAGAGAGAGAGAGAGAGAGATCAGTTTGAGGAGAGAGAAGACAAAGTGAGAGGGAGAGAGAAGACAATACGAGAGTGAGAGAGCGAGAGTGAGAGTGAGAGTGAGAGATTGGTTTGGAAGAGGGAAGACAGTGCGAGAGTGAGAGAGAGAGAGATCGGTTTGAGAGGAAAGATAGAGTGAGAGGGAGAGGGAAGACCGTGCGAGAGTGAGAGAGAGAGAGATCGGTTTGAGAGGAAAGATAGAGTGAGAGGGAGAGGGAAGACAGTGCGAGAGTGAGAGATTGGTTCGAGAGGGAAGACAGAGTGATGAGAGGGAGAGAAAAGATAGTGTGAGAGTGAGAGGGAGAGGGAAAGGGTTGGATGATTCTAGAGAATCATCTCAACCATTGAACATATAGACGTGGACGGTTGTGATCTCCCCTCTGCACTTAAAACGGCCGTTGTGCTCTGTTTGTTTTGTTTTTTTTTTTTTTGTAAAAATAAATAAATAAATAAATAATTTTTTGTGACAAAAGCTATCTTCAAATAATTTTTTGTGTATTTTCTACAAAAGAATGTAATATTATTTTTGCAATGTATAATGTTGACTATTTTTTAGTATAATTTAATTTTTTTCAATAAAGTATAATGAAAAAATAAATATATTTTTTCAAATGAAGGAAATGAAAAGATAAAATACATTAACTGACATTAAACGAAAGTATTTTTATTATAATAAAAAGACATTAATGACATTAAAAAAAATTGTTGATTGTTTATTTTTTATGTGTAGTTAAAAAAATTTATTAAATATGTAATAATATGTTTTTCGGTGGGGTGAATTATATTTATTTATTTTTCCAATTTTTTAATTTTTTTTATTTGCCTAGTCAGGAATAATATAAATATATAATTTTTTTTACAAACAGTTAAAAAGAGGTCAAAAAAGACAAAAAAATAAACAAAAATAAAATCACAAAAAAACCAATATCCAAACAATATCTACAAACTTAAAGGGAAAGTTGGTTGAGATTTGCCAAAATAGCAAATGACTAATTTGGCAAAATACCACTATTCATTGTCAAATTATAACAATAGCAATGACATTATAGCAACAATGGTCGGAGATGCTCCTAGTTTGGGTTTTATTGTTGTGGAGGATGTTGACAGTGATGGGTATGATGATGTTGACGATGATGGTTGCAGGGCGACAGGGGATGAAGATGTTAGGTTCAAAATTCTGTACTGTGGAATCTGCCATTCCGATCTTCACTGCGTTAAGAACGAATGGGGCATCTCCAAGTACCCCCTTGTCCCCGGGTATGTTTCCAAAAACCCCTCTGTAATATATTTCTTGGAGTGTATTAGTTTGTGCTTTGGAGGATTCTGATGCTGATCCTTGTATTAGTCTCTTCATATTTAAATTGCTGATACAATCAGCAGAATTTTATAGAAATTAGAACTGATAATTCGAGATTTATTGGTGTAATTCAACAAGTGTACTTAATTGTGTAGTTGTGTACGCAAACTTGTCCTATAACTGAAAAGAATTTGTGAAGAAAATGGTGCTCTCTCATACACTCAACTCAACATACCTTTGTCACTATTACTTGTGGAAAGCACTAGGAATTCAGATGCAACGCTTATTCATGGAACTTATTTTTCCCATGTGTAATCGAATTGGAAGGAGGACATAAGAACAAGCGAAAAAAAACTAGAGCTGGCTTTGTTGTTTGCTAGTCTATCGCGTGACAATGTCTCATTCTTTCAGTTTCCATGACCTGTGTGGACATTTTTTTGCACTGCAGACTGCTATTACAAATGCATATTAGCTCACTTATAATGGAATCCTCAAATGTAACTGCCAAATGGTATAGATATTGGTGGTTGTATTATTTATGATATTTATTAAAGTTTTTAAACTACACACACACACATATATTGGTTTTATATCTAAAGTAAATATAAAATTTGCACCTCTTGATTTTTCTGGCTCTGCCATTTTTAATAAATCTACCCCTGTTTTGACTCTGATTCACATTAAGATGTCAATGTTACCACATTGATTTTTTATCCTACTCCTTTAATTACACCTGGAAAGATGTTCTGATTTTAAATTTCGAATAACTCATTTAATCACACTTCGACATACGTGTGTGAATACAATTTATATATGTAGGCATGAGATTGTGGGTGTAGTGACAGAGGTGGGTAGCAAGGTACAAAAGTTCAAAGTTGGAGACAAAGTTGGTGTTGGTTGCATGGTTGGAGCGTGTCACTCATGTGACAGTTGCAAGAACGACCTTGAAAATTACTGTCCAAAAGTGATTCTCACCTACAACTCCATATACTATGATGGAACCATGACATATGGAGGCTATTCTGATCACATGGTTGCTACTGAGCGCTATGTGGTTCGGATTCCTGACAATCTGCCTCTTGATGCATGTGCTCCTCTCCTTTGCGCTGGGATCACAACTTATTGCCCCCTAAGATATTTTGGACTTGATAAGCCTGGTCTGAATTTGGGCGTGGTGGGTCTAGGTGGGCTGGGTCATGTAGCTGTGAAGTTTGCCAAGGCTTTTGGGCTTATTGTCACTGTGATCAGTACCTCTCCTCGCAAGAAGAAGGAAGCTATTGAACATCTTGGTGCGGATTCATTTCTGATTAGCACTGACCCTAATGAGATGCAGGTAACCATTTTTCCTCCCTTATGTATGATATTATAACTTCATGGAGATTCTTGAGTGTTTACTGATATGTTGAGTAACATAGGCTGCTATGGGCACTTTGGATGGAATTATTGACACAGTCTCTGCAGTTCACTCTCTACTACCATTGCTTGGTCTGTTAAAGTCTCATGGAAAGCTCGTCTTGGTTGGTGCACCAGAAAAGCCATTTGAATTACCATCTCCAAGTACCCCCTTGTCCCCGGGTATGTTTCCAAAAACCCCTCTGTAATATATTTCTTGGAGTGTATTAGTTTGTGCTTTGGAGGATTCTGATGCTGATCCTTGTATTAGTCTCTTCATATTTAAATTGCTGATACAATCAGCAGAATTTTATAGAAATTAGAACTGATAATTCGAGATTTATTGGTGTAATTCAACAAGTGTACTTAATTGTGTAGTTGTGTACGCAAACTTGTCCTATAACTGAAAAGAATTTGTGAAGAAAATGGTGCTCTCTCATACACTCAACTCAACATACCTTTGTCACTATTACTTGTGGAAAGCACTAGGAATTCAGATGCAACGCTTATTCATGGAACTTATTTTTCCCATGTGTAATCGAATTGGAAGGAGGACATAAGAACAAGCGAAAAAAAACTGGAGCTGGCTTTGTTATTTGCTAGTCTATCGCGTGACAATGTCTCATTCTTTCAGTTTCCATGACCTGTGTGGACATTTTTTTGCACTGCAGACTGCTATTACAAATGCATATTAGCTCACTTATAATGGAATCCTAAAATGTAACTGCCAAGTGGCATAGATATTGGTGGTTGTATTATTTATGATATTTATTAACGTTTTTAAACCACATGCACGCGCGCGCGCGCGCGCACACACACACACATATATATATATTGCTTTTATATCTAAATTAAATATAAAATTTGCACCTCTTGATTTTTCTGGCTCTGCCATTTTTAATAAATCTACACCTGTTTTTGACTCTGGTTCACATTAAGATGTCAATGTTACCACATTGATTTTTTATCCTATTCCTTTAATTACACCTGGAAAGATGTTCTGATTTTAAATTTCTAATAACTCATTTAATCACACTTCGACATACGTGTGTGAATACAATTTATATATGTAGGCATGAGATTGTGGGTGTAGTGACAGAGGTGGGTAGCAAGGTACAAAAGTTCAAAGTTGGAGACAAAGTTGCTGTTGGTTGCATGGTTGGAGCGTGTCACTCATGTGACAGCTGCAAGAACGACCTTGAAAATTACTGTCCAAAAGTGATTCTCACCTACAACTCCATATACTATGATATGATGGAACCATGACATATGGAGGCTATTCTGATCACATGGTTGCTACTGAGCGCTATGTGGTTCGGATTCCTGACAATCTGCCTCTTGATGCATGTGCTCCTCTCCTTTGCGCTGGGATCACAACTTATAGCCCCCTAAGATATTTTGGACTTGATAAGCCTGGTCTGAATTTGGGCGTGGTGGGTCTAGGTGGGCTGGGCCATGTAGCTGTGAAGTTTGCCAAGGCTTTTGGGCTTATTGTCACTGTGATCAGTACCTCTCCTCGCAAGAAGAAGGAAGCTATTGAACATCTTGGTGCGGATTCATTCTGATTAGCACTGACCCTAATGAGATGCAGGTAACCATTTTTCCTCCCTTATATATGATATTATAACTTCATGGAGATTCTTGAGTGTTTACTGATATGTTGAGTTACATAGGCTGCTATGGGCACTTTGGATGGAATTATTGACAGAGTCTCTGCAGTTCACTCTCTACTACCATTGCTTGGTCTGTTAAAGTCTCATGGAAAGCTCGTCTTGGTTGGTGCACCAGAAAATCCATTTGAATTACCAGCCTTTCCTTTGCTTATGGGTAAGCATTTGAGATTGCTTTAATAAATAGCAAAACATATGTTTTACCTAAGCAATAGAGGCATTCCATTCCACATTTAGGTTATTAGGCTGGTAGTGTTTTTGTTCTATACAAAGAAAGCAGAAAAATTATTGCTTGGCTTAGATAGTGTGGCCCTGTACTTTATTTTATATATGTTGAAATGCATATATATACATCCCTTTGATCCTTTCTACTGTTTAAATAAATAAATGTTAGCTAATATGGGATTCGGAATGACAGGGAGGAAAATAGTAGCGGGAAGTAACATTGGAGGTATGAAGGAGACACAAGAAATGATTGATTTTGCAGGAAAACACAACATAACTGCGGACATTGAGGTCATCCCAGCGGACTATGTGAACACTGCTGTGGAGCGTCTTGCCAAAGCCGATGTTAAGTACCGATTTGTCATTGACATTGGAAACACACTGAAAGCTGCCTAGTCTTTACCCTTATGCTTCCTGAATTTAGTTTGATGTAGTGACATGGTCACCAATATTAAGTTGTCTACTGTCTTTATTTTTTTTTTGTAATGTCGGGCTTTTTGTTACCAATGTTGGAACATCTTTTCTACCGGTTACATCCTGTGTCTCCTAGCCCAACTTAATTTTTAAGTGCACTTTTGAAGATCTCAAATGCATTGCTACAAAATAGTTGACTTCACTGCTTGACATTATGTAAAGAGTGCGTGAGAAGCATTACCCAAAAAGACAAAGTCTTCACTCCTTCGTAATCAAATTAACCATGTCTGCATCTGTAGGTAACAATGTCAATGTTTGGGGTTCCATTTTTTATGCTTGAATTCTAATTGTGATATTGTGGTTAGGGGTAGTGATAAGGGGTTTGTAGAGGTGGCATTGGTATCTACCAAGGTATTCTTGGTACTTAGAGCCCCAAATGTGCTGATATCATAAGATTCTATCAACAGTTTAATGGTTGATTTAACAGAATGGGGGTCTTATATATTGTTTGAAAAAATAGGAAAAGTTAGTGTAATTTTTAAATTACAAGTGGAGTCCCTGCAATTATGCAAAACTTCAAGGGAGGTAGATGTAATAATTTTATCTAAGGTAGTAGTACCCAAAAGTAACCACCACCCTCACTATCCAATTAAAAATCATTTTCAACATAATCTTCATTAAGTTCCTCACATATAAGAGTTGAATAATGAAAAAAAAAATAAATAAATAAAAAAAGTCATTTGGGAAGAAAGGTTTTGGCTAAAATAGTCAAATAAAAATAAAAATTTATTTTTTTTACATATTTTTTCAAAAAAAATCTAAAAAAATTGAATTTTTTTTTTATAAAACTTTTCAAAATAGGCCAAAATAGGTTAAAATAGCTTAATAGAACAAAATATCACATTCAAATTATAATCATTTTATTCTTTCTCTTACAATCATTAAATGAACTAAAAAAAATCAATTATTTTCTCAAATACAATTTTTTTAACTAGACTAAACTAATAAAAAAGTCAATTAAGTTGCCATTTGGAAGCAACTTTTTTTTGCCTAAAAAGACAAAATAGAATAAGGCCTCGTTTGGGAATATGTAATTTTAGTAACTTTTTTGCTTTTGAACTAAAATATGAGATAAAAAAAAAAACTAATATGTTTATAATGACTTTTTAATTTTTTACGAAAAGATATGCAAAAAGTAGAGAGAATGAAATCTTTGGTAGTGTTTGGTAGAGTTTTAGAATTATGATTTGAGAATAGAGTTGTATTTTGAGTTTGTGGGTTTTGAGTTTGTGGGTTTTAGGCGAAAAATTTGTTTAGCTATGAGTTTTGAATTGAGTTTGAAATTTTTGATGTGACATATGATATTTAATTCAATTCAAAAACTTACAATTCATAACCAAACACACAACTCAAAATTCTATTCAAAACTCATAAAAAATTTTAAAAAATTCCGAAAATATTTTTTATTTAAAATATAAAAAACAACATATGCCAATTTTCCAAAAAAAAAAAAAAAGAAAAGAAAAGAGCATCGTTCCGATCAATCGGCCGGATGACCGGGTAGGCCAAATTTCAAAATTCAAAACCCCGCTTGAAATTCATTTCTCACCAAAGTGGTGAGATTATGAACTTTTTCATAATACTCAGACTGCTCGTTAAAATGTAAAACATATAAAGAAAAAAAATGTCACCCATATTCCAATTTAAATATAAAAAAATGATTCATCTCCTAATTTTGTCCCCAATTTCACCCAATGATGTGGAATTAGAGGGGTTAAAATGGGAGAGAGAAGTGTGGGACCACATCATTGGGGTGGAATTAGAGAATGTAGCGAACTGACAAGAAAACGGTATAGTTTTTTACCAAATCTCTCGCATGAGTGTGGGACTCACACAAAATTTCGTAGAAAATTTGATAATTTATTTGGGATCCCTATTATCACTTGGACTGATAAATATAATAGTGAGAAAAAACGTAGTTTTTATAATAGTGAGAAAAAAAAACATAGTTTTTTTTTTTTTTTGGTCATTTAGACGAAAGACAACTATCATTCATTTTCTTTTTCTCATCCCGCGATCCAAACAATATTAGAGCATCTCCAATGGAGCTGCTATTCAACTTGTCAAAGCTAAAATTTGACAAGAATGACAAAAAGAGGGTTTCTAATTGCATGTTATTCTATTTGCCAAAGATAGCAGATGCCATTTCTGTTCTCAAATTTGGCAGGCTGAATAGCAGCAGCCAAACTTGCCAGATCAGCAAATCTCAACAGATTTTTGGCACCAAATGCAGTTGAAGAAACAGATTTGAAATAATATAAAACCCAAAAAATTTAGAATCAAACTCAAATATCAGAATCAAACCCAATTTACAATTTTTTTTGCCAAATTCACAAATTTCAAGATAAATTTGACAAAGCCAAATTCAGTTTCTCTTAAAAAATTTTTTTTAATCATTTATCACCAAATCAGTCAATCAAAATAGAGTGTAAAAATTAGATGGATATTATCACAATAAACCAAACCAAAATAGTCTTGAGTTGTTTGAAAATCAAAATAAAGATCAAAATAAAATCAATGGATGAACAAAAATTAAACCAAAAATCAAAATAAATAATTACGAAAAATCGGGGAGCACAGACCTGAGTTCTTTGAAGATATGGAGATGATTGAGTTCTTTGAAGATCTGGTTTGACGCCATCGCGAGACTTGAGTTTGAAAAATCGCGATCACCTCCACATCAACAACCAGAAAAATAAACAAAAAATCAAAGCATATATATATGAGTATGTATATAGATGGAAATCGTACCAGAGACAGAGGGAGAGAGAGGAAATGGGGGGCGAAATGAGAGAGAGAGAGAGAGATCAGTTTGAGGAGAGAGAAAACAAAGTGAGAGGGAGAGAGAAGACAATGCGAGAGTGAGAGAGCGAGAGTGAGAGTGAGAGATTGGTTTGGAAGAGGGAAGACAGTGCGAGAGTGAGAGAGAGAGATCGGTTTGAGAGGAAAGACAGAGTGAGAGGGAGAGGGAAGACAGTGCGAGAGTGAGAGATTGGTTTGAGAGGGAAGACAGAGTGATAAGAGGGAGAGAAAAGATAGTGTGAGAGTGAGAGGGAGAGGGAAAGGGTTGGATGATTCTAGAGAATCATCTCAACCATTGAACATATAGACGTGGACGGTTGTGATCTCCCCTCTGCACTTAAAACGGCCGTTGTGCTCTGTTTGTTTTTTTTTTTTTGTAAAAATAAATAAATAAATAAATAATTTTTTGTGACGACAGCTATCTTCAAATAATTTTTTGTGTATTTTCTACAAAAGAATGTAATATTATTTTTGCAATGTATAATGTTGACTATTTTTTAGTATAATTTAATTTTTGCAATGTATAAAAGCTGGCACAAGGTCAAAAGAATTCAATCAAATATAGAAATATAAAATCAACCTTGTTACACGCATATTTAGGGAGGTTCCTGCGTTTTGATTTTGACCACATTTACATAATAGCCATGTGACAAAGCAGTCAAAAATCAAGTCTCCCATTGCTGGAAACAGGGGTTTAGAGGCGTTTAAAAAACGCCGCTATAGGTCTCAAAAACGCCGTCAAATCTTTTGGTGACGTTTAGCACCAAACGTCAAAGATGCGGCCGTCGCTATAACTTTATGGCGCTTTTTAAAACGTCGCTATATTACTATAGGCGGCGTTTTCTAAAAAAAAAAGATTTTGAACAGATTGGGATCCCTGGCTTAGTCGACCCAGAACAGCTACCAGACGTGCCATAAGAACTCCCACTTGAACCATCTATGGGGGCTTGATTTAGACATTCTAAAACCAATGACCTCAGCTTTTTCAGCTTCATTGAGAATGTTGTTGCCTCCAAAATAACTGGAACCTGTGGATAAGTTTGAATCAACCAACTGCAATTAAAGTAGATAATTTCCCAACAGATTAAATTAATTATTCGGCAGATCCAATAATTTGTGGGTAAAAAATTGTATTATTTCACGCTCGTACAGTTGGCAATGAGTAAAATGATAATAGAAAATAACATATGAAGTAGAAGAGAGCACTAGTGCAAAACACACTCATCTCCTACCTGGGTGTTAAGACGGGCCACGTTGTGCACATTGAGAAGGCCAACCATGTCCTGATAACCAGTGAGAAGGTTTGCCAACTCCTTGTCCTCATCTGATACAAACCCCGGTTTAAGGATTAACATTCAGATAGTAAACCTAACAATGCTACTAAGCCAATGGCATACCTGGAATTGCTCTGACGGATAGTAAGGTGTCAGCCAAATGCTGCCATCTCTTTGCAATGGATGGTGAAACAAGGGAAGGTGGAAAGGTTATAACAGCAACTGCATTTGAAGACCGAACCATGCTTTTCAAAGATCTGATAAAGGAAAGCATTTCCCATTCCTACAATGATTATGTGTGAAAAAAGATATTGATAATGCTCATTGAGATAGCAGCAGCAGCCGCTAGAACAAGTGGTAGAAGCCAATCACTAGGATTTCCATTAGCAAAGCATAATGAAGCAGGTTTAAGCCTATTTAAGTAAAAGAAGACATTTTAGAAAGAGAAAAGGGTATAAGAGACTATTAACAATGCCACCAGAATCTCTTCGGGGTCATTCTGTTTCCCCACACTATTTCTGTTTCCACACTACAAAGGACATTAGCACACACCGCATTTCTTTTCATTCAGTAGTTCATATCTGAACCATTGGTTTTCATTCAGTACTAAGTTTCTAAATCTAAGGGTGTGGAAATTGTTAGGTGTGTGAATTGAGAAAAATTGGCACATGGAAATAGAATGGGAAATTTAGCTATAAACCCCCTTTACCTTCCTTTCATTGTTAAAAGGACTAAGAAAAAAATTATATTTTCTAAACCCCCTCATAATTATAAAATTTTGCATAAAGGACAAAATTTATTATTTAAATATTTTATTAGACTATTATACCCTCAACTAAATTTCCTCACCTTCTCCACCCACTCTCTCCCCACCTTCTCTGCTCTTTTACGAGCTCTCTGTTATGATTCTCAACATTCTTCGATCTCCTCCTACACCGATTCAGTTTTTCGATCGCTCTCCGGCGGTTCATACGCCACCGCCCGTGTCTTCCTCAAGGTGGTGGAACATGATCGAAGCCTCAACCAAGCAAACGCACAAACAAATTCCCTTTTTTCCTTCTCTCTTCCATTCCTAGGGTTTGGATTGGATTCGTTCGAAGCTCTCGTGATTTCAACCAAAACTGTGAAAGTTTGGGCACTGGTTTGTATCATAATAATTAATATTATAAACTATAATGGGCTGGACCC